GGAGGACAGGTGATCATCAACTTCCCTTCACCTGCAATGGGGTCTCCACGTGATTTCCCTGAGACCTGCTGATCGGTGTGCAGGATTTCCTCTCCTGATGGGATGACAGTGGTTTTGAGAAAGAATATTGTGAATAAGCACCTGAGTAAGCATTTATGGGTAAAACTTTCAGAGTCAGCTGGGCTCCTGCAGGAGGAAATCCTCGTAGGGCGGTGGGACTTCTCCGAGGGTGGCTTCAGCTGGAGGATCCTGTTGATGTAACACACCTGGATGTCACAGAGACTTTGACTAAATTGCATTAAAGCAATCACTTTGTAAGGGGGTTGGAGTAAAGCCTCACCCTGGGATGGGAAGCTGATGAATGAAGGGTAGGTCGTTTCCAGTCCAGAGAAGAGTTAGCGGGGGTCTCTCCAGTGGATGTCCTTGAACTCATTTTGTTCTACACTTCCACCAGTGACCTGGATAAATGCAGAGCACACTGAACTCTCAAAGCTTACAAACGACATGAGGTTGGGCACTGTATTGGTAGTAACTATCTTCTGTATTTTTATAAGTTTGTTTAGATGTTCATTGCAATAGCAATACATTTCTGGCTCTGGACAGTATTTGTCCTTCCTTTTTCTATAACAAGCTCTTGAGTGTACCATAGCTGCAACTCATGGAATTCAGATCTTATTTGGACGATAGTCCCATAGAAGTGGATCTCAAAGCAAGGGGTTGTGGCACAGCTGACAGACAAAAGCTTGCTGCGTGGCAGTAGAGGTATGTATTACACCTGACAGCCTTGCTGTTGATATTTCTTTGGGACATTCACAAGGAATGAGGAAGCATTATGAGATCTTATCAAACTCAGTGCTCAGTCCTGCCAATCCAGGAAGAGGGCTCTGCCTGAGGAAGGGAACTTTGTGCTCTTTGGGTCACGTCAGCAAACCCATCAGCAAAACACTTACGTTGAAGAGAACTGGTCCCAAGACGACTACTGGGGGACGCTGCTCATCACCAGCCTCTGCTTGCACACAGTGCCATACAACACAGTCCTCTGTCTATGGCCTTCCAACCAATCCTTATCCATCAGATAGCCTACCCCTCACATCCATGTCCCTCAGATTAGCACTCCAGGTGAGCCGTGCCCAGCGCAGTGCAGAGTCTTGACCCAGGTGCAGACCTTGCACTTGGATTTGTCGAACCTGGTGAGGTTCAGCTGGCCCCAGTGCTCAGCCTGTCTGTGTCCCCCTGGATGGCATCCCGTCCCCCTGCTGTGTCACTGCACCCCACAGCTCGGGGCCATCAGCAAACTGCTGAGGGTGCACCCGACCCCACTGCCAATGGCACTGATGAAGATATTAAAGAGTATTGGCCCCAGCACTGACTGCTGTGGGACACCACTTCTCACTGATCTCCATCCAGATGTTGAGTCATTGGCCACCACTCAATCCTGCAGCCGGTTCTTTATCCACCAAACAGTCCACCCATCAAACCCTTGTCTTTCCAATTTGGAGAAAGGGATGCTGTGGGATGTTGTGTCAAAGGCCTTACTGAAGTCCAGATAGGTGACATCAGTGGCACTTCGCTTGCCCACTGTTGCAGTGACACCATCACGGAAGGCCATGGGTTGGTTAGGCAGGATTTGCCCTTGGTGCAGCCATACTGGTTCTCCCATATCCCCTCCCTGTGTTCCATGTGCCTTAGCACAGCTTCCAGGAGGAGCTGCTGCCTGGCACAGAGGTGAGACAGACAGGCCGGTATTTACTGGGGTCATCCTTTTTACCCTTTTTAAAAGGGTATGATGTTACCTTTTTTTCCCAGTCACCAGGGGCTTCACCTGATTGCCACAGCTTTTCAAACACTGCAGCAAGTGGCTTGGTAACTACAGCAGCCAATTCCCTCAGGACTTGTTGGAGCAAGGAGCATGCCCATGGAGTTTTAGGAGCAGGTCCAGAGGAGGACCACAAAGATGATCAGAGGGCTGGAGCACCTCCCCGATGAGGACAGGCTGAGGGGACTGTGGCTGTGCAGCCTGCAGAAGAGAAGGCTCCGAGGAGACCTTATGGGGGCCTTCCAGACAATGAAGGGGCCTACAGGAAAGCTGGGGAGGGACTTTTTATAAGAATAGGACAAGGGGAAATGGTTTTAAACTGGAAGAGGGCAGATTGAGACCATATATCAGCAAGAAATTCTTTCCTGTGAGGGAGGTGAGACACTGGCCCAGGTTGCCCAGCCAGGCTGTGGATGCCCCCTGCCTGGATGCCCTCAAGGCCAGGCTGGATGGGGCTGTGAGCAACGTGGGCTATGGGAGGTGTCCCTGCCTGCAGCAGGGGGTTGGAAATGGATGATCTTAAAAGTCCCTTAAAACCAAAACTATTCTGTGAGTCAATGATTCTGTGACTCACTGGGCACGTCTGCTTCTGCTTTTTTGGCTGATCCATAAATTCAAAGGAAATGATGCAATCATTTTCCCCTCAGCACAAGAAAGATATTGAGTCCCTGGAGCACGTCTAGAGAAGGGCAAGGAAGCTGTGAAGGGTCTGGAACTCACGTCTTACGGGGAGCAGCTGAGAGAACCGGGATGAGGAGGTTCAGGGGAGACATTATGGCTCTCTCCAACTCCCTGAAAGGAGATTATGGAGAGGTGAGGGTCAGCCTCTGCTACCAAGTGACAGAGACAGAACAAGAGGGAATGGCCTCAAGAAGCAACAGATGAGGATCAGGTTAGATACTAGGAGAACTTCCTTCTTGGAAGGAGTTGTCAGTCACTGGGACAGGCAGCCCAGGGAGGTGACTGAGTCTCCTTCCCTGGAGGTGTTCAAGGAGAGGGTGGATGTAGTAATTAGGACACAGTTCAGTGGGAAATACTGGCGGTAAGTGGAGGGTCGGACTAGACAGTCTTAGAGATCTTTTCCAACAATAATGCTTCTGTGATTTCATGTATGATTAATACTGGTGGAAATAAAACCCATTGGCAAGTCAGAGACTACCATGGAGTTGCCTTGGGTTGCCATCGGGAGCTGAGAAGGACTAGAAACATGGTGTGCAGTCAAAGCAGGACTTGAATGTGTTGTTCAGGAGACAGAACGAACATTTGTAGGGATCCTCTCTATGGGTGCAGTGAGATGTGATCCTAATGAAAGGAGAGAGTGATGTTGAGAAGAACTCCCTGCCAGGGCAGTGCTGACTTTTAGGCACTGTCCTCAGGAGATTGGCCTTCTGAAAGCACTGCACTGCCCACCCATCTATTCAGGTTTGTCCTTTTTCAGTCATGAGATCATTTTTCAGTATGGGTTCTAAAACATCATCCAAAGCCACATCACTCCATGAAATTGTGTTTAGTCCCTGGTTTTGGTACGGGCCTCCATGGTGTTCCCACCACTTTGTCCAGCCAACTCACAAGAAGGGGCACCATGGACTGGATAGACTCACGTTCCCTTCTGAATGGCTTCAAGCTGTGCCAGGGGAGATTCAGGCTGGACATTAGGAGATAATACTTCTCCAAAAGAGTGGTCAGGCACTGGAATGGGCTGCCCAGGGAGGCGGTGGAGTCACCGACCCTGGAGGTGTTCAAGGAACGTCTGGACGTTGTGTTGAGGGACGTGGTGAGAGCTATTGGTGATGGGTTGGACTGGGTGATCTTGTGGGTCTTTTCCAACCTTGGTGATTCCATGATTCTACGATTCTCTCCCCAGTGACCACCCCAACCTGCAGCACAGTGATCCAGATTTGACAGATCTATTTATTTACACAGAAGGGAATCCAATAGTAGGACGCTAAGCACTTGCTACTGTCTGATATTATTGGATGGTGATGGCACATAAGCACATAGCAAAGGCTGATGTAAGTGATGCAGCCCCTTGGCATGTATCTGGTCAACAAAGATCCCCTGGGGTCCTTTCGAGACCTCTCCCACTTCCACTGTAGGATACAGGGCAGTGGGCAACGATCTGAGAGGAGGACAGTTCCCATGTGCTCAGGGACAATGAGAATAACCAGGGATTTTTTGTGTCCTGCAGAAAAATGGGGATCCTGCCTCACCAGAAAGGCTGTGGGTGGGCATCAGACCATGAAGAACAGTGCAGCTCTGCCTTAAGCAGGACTGCTCTCAGAATGGCTCTTAGACGAACTGAAGTTGAGTCTCTGCTCCTGTCTTTCCCTGCCTAGTGCCTGTGGTCTGTGAAGCACTGCTTCTGCTCTGCCAGAAGAATGAAGGGAGCTGAAATTTGAGTCTCCTCCAGAAAAGGGTCTGACAATCCTTTTTTCTCCTCCTGTCTGCTTCTCCTTCCATTTCCCTCCCTCAGCATATTTTCCCTTCTGGGGCCCATCTCCTGCCTATCCACTGGTATCCAGCTCAGACACAGACAGGGAGCAGAGCCTCCCCGTGGACAGCCCTGTTATCAGGGCTGAAGTGGAGACACAGAGAGCTCCAAGCAGTGCCAGGCTAGATGGGAGATCTGTACCTGGTAACACTGCTCACATTGCACACACAGCAGAGGTCCAGAACATGTTAGAGTCAGATTCAGAATTTGAATTTGGCTTCCCATCTGAGCTTCACTGAATAATCCAGTCATAGAGTCATAGAATCGCAAGGTTGGAAACGAGATCCACTAGTCCAACTTTGTTCCCATTACCATTGCTACCACAAGCCTCAAAACCATATCCCATAGCCCCTCATACAGCTGCATTCAGCCTCCTAACTTTCTCACATACCGAGCAGTGATTTTGTAAAACGTGTTTTATGTCATCACAGAGAAATTCTGGTATTTTTCAAAGGATTTAATTTCACATAGTCCAAAGAACACTCTGCATGTGAGACTTACTGCTGAAGTTCTTCCTGAGACACTTAGGAAAAGTAACGGAAAGGAAAATGTAGAGATCTCTGCAAGAATGCTCTCTGTGTGCTCCAAGCATGAAGGAAAGGTTCTCTGAACAAAGAGTCACAGAGTTAACCCCATCAATTGACCAGGGTTCCGTATAACTGATGAGCTCAGTTTGTGGCACAGAGACACGGGTCAGATTCCCTTCCTCTGAAAGAGGACAACTATCTTGTCCCTCAGTTGTTTGGTTCTGACCCCGTAAATGATGGGGTTTACTGCGGGGGGCAACAGTATGTAGATATCAGCCACCAATATATGGATGTGCTGAGGGATGCTGTGTCCAAACCGGTGGGTGAGGAATGTGAAGAGGCCAGAGACATAAAATGCAAGGATGACACAGATGTGGGATACACACGTGTTAAAGGCCTTGAGCTGCGTGTCAGATGATGACAGCTTCAGTACCACCCACAGGATCATGGTGTAGGACACAACAATCACCGTGAGGTCAGCTCCTATCACTGCAAAAGCCACAAAGATGCCATAGGCAGCATTGACTCTGGTGTCCTCACATACCAGCTTCACCACGGCCATGTGTTCACAGTAGGAATGGGAGATGACACGATGCTGGCAGAAGGCCTTCCTATGGAGCAGGAAGCAGCCAGGACTCACCATGAGGACTCCACGCAGCAGCACCAGGCTCCCGAGAGC